CTCTCTCTCTCTCTCTCTCTCTCTCTCTCTCTCTCTCTCTCTCTCTCTCTCTCTCTCTTATTCTCTGCTATAAGAGATATTAGAGAATAAGGGTCGGAGCCTACCGATAAAAACCAGCACTAAGCCAGACATATGTTTTTTACGATCCTGAAGACGTAGAAGCATTACATCTTTTTTATGATATCACCTCTTTTCATGATGATTGTATGTTTCACATTTTAGGTTATTTATTTATTTATTTATTTATTTATTTGTTTATTTATTTATTTGCTTTGCAGATATAAACATGCATTAATGTCCATTTCCGCTAATGTAGATTAATTTTAATGTTAGTTTAATTTATTTTTTATCTTTTTCTAGAATGCTTAGAACTAAAAAAAAATAAAAAGTAAGTTAAACTAAGATTAAAATTAAACTACATCGATAGAAATGAACATAATTGGAATTAATATACCTGCTTCTAACTTTCTTCACTATTATTATTTAACCTTCGAATGATTAAATCGCGATATCATAGGTATTATTTTTATCAAAATAATGTCTATAAAATTTTCTTAAATAAATCTCTTATCTTTATTTTTTCATTCATCAAAGATAAAATTATAACAGATTTGTTGAAAATTACTCAAGTGACGGATTTTATATCGATATAGTAAAAATAATTAATAGAACGTCTCGACAGTATGATTTTGTTCATTTCTCATTAGATTACGTTTTTTTAAATATTAATCTTTCGATAAAATGCATGTTCTGATAGTTAAAAAATCGAATATATTACACCGATTTTATAGAGAAAATCACATAAAAAAATGATGTCAAATCAATGTATCCGTACCATTACCAGACTCAATCAAGTTTATATCTTGTGTTCCTGAAAGGGCAAACCTCTTGATAATTACATATATGTTCTAACTTGACCAGAAATAGAGATTACTTAGCGATTTTGCCGCAATTTATCGATATATTGGCACGCAACCTGTCCGACAATAAAGAGTAAATAAAGACTAAAATAGATTATGCTCTCGTCGTGGAGGAAGGACTCCGTATAAGAGGAGTACTAAGCTCGAAGGGCTGATTAGAACATACAACAAACGAGAATGAAAATAATGTTCAAAATAAACTCCTTTTGTTACAATAATATAAAAACTTAATAAACAAATATGTATGTTCTCAAAATACTATTGTGCGTCAAACTGTAACAACCAAACTTTTTTGATTGATAAAATTTCGTGATTGTCGATTCGTGCGCACAACGAATTTATAGGAACATAAAGCATAAAGCAACAATTATGAAATATAATTAGTAATTTGCACATAGTTATCAATGGAAGAGCAAATGTAACCATTCGAATGCAATGAGCAAGTACGGATAAATATCAATGAATGTGTGCATGCTATAGTAATACGACAATTCGCACGTAATTGTCGAGATGTAATAGACCATTAGAGTTGTTCGCATAAAGCATATAGTGCAGTGTGAATCCAGAACTGGGCGTAACAAGTTTGTATACAGGCGCAACAACAGGATGTTTATGCATAATGCATACGGTGGATAAGTTGAGATGATCTGAAATACCTCGCACACAAGAAATTCGTGTCCCAAGTGACTGAAATTCTTTTCCTTCTTGCAGAAATTCGTACCCCCGACAGAACGTGATCTGTGAAATATCCCTATTGCCAGTATATACGGCGTGAGTGTAACAATACACGCACATCGCGTTTAGCTATGAGAGTACCACGAATTACCTATTGTTACCAAATTTACTTCATAATTCAACGGAAAATCGATACTCCATCAAGGACTTCATGAACCACATTACTCGCTCTTATCTTCTATTAGCGCTTAATATGCGGCAATATTATTTCATATTGCCAGTTTAAAAAAATAATATATATATATATATGTTCCAAAGAACCATTATATGTATATCTTGTTATATTCAATAAATATATTATGTTTCTTACAAATATTTTTAAAAATCATTCAATAATCATTAATAATTGTAATGATCATTTTGAATACATGTGTGCTTTATATTCAGTTCAATTTGCTCTTCATATATGCTTGAGTGAAGTAGCTTTTTAAATTATTTGGTATGCAACTTTAATTTTTTTAATGTAACTTTAATTTATTTAATTACTCATTAACGTTATTTAAAACTATTCTTGGTTAAATAAATATCTTTATATCGTAGATAAAATTACAATTTTATTCAA